CACTATTCATAGTGTAATAAAGCATCAATCCCGACTCTGTTGCACAACAAAAGTTCTTGTTGCAGATTGAAGGATACTCCCGAGATACAGGTGAAAGTCATAGTACTGAAGAACTACTTTTGAAAATGATATTCTTTTCTTTGTGACAAAATAAAGATCCCTACGACAAATGCAATCATGTACATGAAGTTCTGAGTGCATCCCAACTGTCTTATGACTTTAACCCAAAATAAAAAATTAACTCTAAATGCTATGACCATTGTCAAGAATCAGATCTCCATTGCATCGTTCAGATACACATGGTTAGATATTTTTACGGGCATGCATATATTTTATATATCTTAATCCGATAGTTCTATGGAGATTAAAGGATCTCATCTGATTAACCATCTAAGATGAGAAATTTATTCAGGATATAATTACGTGGTTCAGTTTATGTGACCAGAATCCTACTAACTACTTTCGTGCATATCAACCCTAATGCAAAGACGTTTTCTTTGACTGTCCGTTTTAAGAACAAGGCATTTTAGCATTGTGCTGTTCATACATTCGTATGTCCTAGCTAATTCAACACTGTCGTCTGATTTTTAAAAAACTCATATTAATGGTATTTCCAAAGGAAGTGTTTTCTGCAGGGTAGTTTTGTGCTGGAAAAATGCTAATTTTTAGTTTTACTACTTTAGTCTAAAACTCCTACATTGAATGGTCACTTTGCTCAACCAGCCTATTTTTATCTAAGCAAATGGCTGTAAATCCATACTGATGAAGACCATTGCTTTAAAGCTTCTTTTCATCACAACCTGTTCCTGGTACATAAAGGCATTTATTGGTAGCTTGACTTATAATTCAGTAGATCACGGAACTAGACCTAAATTATACTACAAATAGACTTTCTTCATAATTTACGAACAAAAAAATTTTTTCGTAATAAAAGAAGCCAACTTTTATTTTCGTTCATCCTAACTAGCTTAATCAAGAGGAGGCCTATCGGGTAACTAATGCAGAAACAAACCTACTGAAGAAACCATATCTGGGCATAAAGCATATATAGTTTGAACAAGAGGATGTGAGTGATTAGAATCGGCTTATTTTGTGCGCCACAAATGAATGAATTGTATTTAAGAATAAATTAACAATTATCATTCAATGAAACACCTCTAATTAAGGCATTTCACACAGTTATGCAAACAGAATACCCGTCATTAGTCAGGAAAATGAAAAAAGGCATACTTTTGCACGTGCTGTCTCTACAGTCTTGATTACGAAATCATTGATACAGATGAAGATTCATAGTACCAGGAACTTTTGTTCGATCAACTACAACTTATCTATGAATTTAGCTGACGACAGTTTGCCCTTTCTGAACTTTGCTAATAGGTGGTGGATTTTTAATCGTAAGGCTTGTTGGCATCGTCAGCATTAAATCCTCAAAGAAGCAAAAGTATGTATTAAGTGGCCTGAAGCCTCATGTAGTGTTTTTTCTAAAGCTGAATCTTTTTCAACTATTCTTCTTATAAGAGATTTATGTTATACTTTTGCTCTTATTATTCTAAACTTCACTGGATTAGACTGAAAATGTAAAGTCTCCCAACTTGTTACTGTGCTTATGCTTGATTACCGATCATTTGGGTTGATTTGCATTCTACTGACGGATAGTTGTTTTTTTTCTAATCACACTGTTGACTGGGTCTCTATCAGTATGTCCGTTGATTGTCATCGCATCGGATTGTCAGACTTACACAAACTTTCATGCAGCTTTTGATCTTACGAGCTGTAGGATTTTCACACTCGACCGGATATATGTTTGTAAGTCTGCGTGCACTGACTGTAAGGTTGATGCATCATACTGTTTTACTTCTAGTTGATGTGTATAAATTTTTCCAACGACCCAACAACATGACTATCTTTGCAGTAAATTTTCAGAATTATACTTCTCCCAACATTTATCACTAAAACCCCTTTCGCCTCATACTGAATGTGTTGCAGGAACCTTGTTGGTTTGTGCACCACTCCAATCCTGACTGAATGGAGCAATTGATCGATGGACTATGCAGGATTCTGGATCTGGGTAGCAAGCAACTGCATTGTTTGCTGCTCCATTTGTAATTTCTGGTGAATATGGTTGGATAATTTGAGACTTTTAACACCTGAAATTAGTACTTTTCTTACTAATTCCCAAGTGCTTGAGCTGTAGTCGGCCTTGACAACAAAAGCGGTGTTTTGTCCTGACACTACTTTTGGATGGGTGACTGCTGAGTAGTTTCAGAATCTGATCAGTGTGTTTGACATGAGTGTAGCACTTGACTTTTCGGGATTCCATGAATTGTTCTTCCAGTTAAAGGCATCTTAGAGTGAGGTTTCACTGCTTTTCTTCAGGTTTCCCGTGAAACAAAATTCTTTCAAATGTCTGTTTGATCATTTTGAGCAAGTTTTCTACTTCGTTTGTGACTGACGTGCTGAAAGTAAGTCTCAGTTTTGATTACAGTAATACTTATAGATCCTAGTCACCACGTCAGTAATGAGTTTCAAAACTGGTGATTCATTGGATATTCCCTTCGTTTGTTCGTAAATATTCTCCTGGAATTATTATTGTGTTGTAGGAAATTAGAATATGAATTTTATCTGTTTCATAAAAAGTGGATTTTCTCAGAGTTTGACGGATTTTGGTCATCCTTAAGAAGAATATCCATTGCCTTTTCGACTGGATGTGAGTTAGTTTAAGTGAAGACTAAGATACTATCGTATTTCTTGTCTGGCACATCGAGATTTCTATTCTGTTCAGCATTTCAGTTGATAAACTCTCCAATCTTTAAAATATTTTTGTACATCAATGACTTTGTGTTAGCCAATGATCACAAGGCAACATAAAGTCGGTTACTCTCCAGAGACTAACTAATGCTTGTCTTGTTCCCGACGACAGGGTTCCTTTCATTACCAAAACGAGTAATATCACAACTGTCTTTTTACTCAGGAACGCATTCTGATCATTCCTTTCTTTTGTTTCTAGATGTGGATTTCTTTCGATACTCGTCAGACTTAAACCAATTAAAGTAGTTGCCGCTGGTGTTATGCAGTTGATTACACCAGAATCCAGTTTCTCTTCATCTATAGCAATGTAGTTGAGCTTTTTCGGAAAAATACCACAAAACACCAGTCAAATAACTGATAGCATAGTAAAGACAATGCAATGATTCAGAGGACGAAACAAAGATTCAGGGTTATAAATATTTTGACGAAATGTATCAATTTACGTATTTCCTATATTACCACAATACCAAATAGAGAAGCCAGTTTCAATAATTAAGAACAGCTGACTAAATGTTGCATTTTTTTTCTAAACAAATTAACTTAAGGTTTATGAAGACGTACACATGTTTCCTTTTTAATCGTTCACAGTAATGCTATCATTACAGATTTGAAAATAGGGTGAAAAGTTAGAACAGAACTCATGTGACACTAAAAAAATACACATACACGAAAAAATTAAATTTATGACAATTTAGGAAGTTCTAATACGTGTACCAACACAACTTTCTTAGTAAAATGCGCTATACTGTGTGACAAATAAAAGTGACTCCACCTTTAGTTAATAGATTCGTGAGGCTTTACTGATTTCAGTTTGGTATTCATCACGGAGTGTTATCAGTCGCAGAACTAGTGGAGACTCGGAGGCAATGGATAGCAGTTTCGTCCTAGTGTGAAACTCGCTGGTAGTTCCTGCCTACGACCCTCTCAAGGATCTAACCCAAGATATTAGGGTTCTATGACTAACACTTTACCACTGAGCCAATCAGCCGAAATCTAGTAAGGTGCGACTAACCAGGCCTGACATGAGAACAATTTCTCAAGACGGATTTGGATGAAGGTTGCGCTATATGGTGAACTGACAAAAGTAGGAAATATGGATCGTTAAATTCCGACCCAGTAGCTGAATGACAACATTCTGGCCACGGAACTTGAAGGTCATGGGGTCGATCTCTGGCGGGGTGGGTCAAGTGGGCTTACTGCCAAGGAGTCACATACCGGGATATAACAGTTGTCCAGTGCTCCCAGACTGCCAATATTTCTCCGACTGATCCCAGTCCTTGGTGAATACCGACCTGGAACCAATCAATAAATCCCCACAAACCTCCGAATTCCGTGATCTTCGATTGTGTTTTCAAATAAGCGCTGATTTCATATACCTACGACTGGCTAAAATACTTAAGGATGACAAAAGTAAAACTGACAACATTGATGTGTTCAACATGCTACTGAGAGGGTTAAAGCAAAAGCCTAACCTCTAAAAACCCATAAAAAAGTAGGTGTCAGCCAATGTTTGCAATTATCAAGGTTGCATTCTAGTTTTAAGTGACCATCTACGCGAATTCATTGCAAGTGATTATACAAGCCAGTCAAATAGTAAATAGATCAACCTAATTTTAAAGTATTTTCGATTTATGTTTGTTTTTGCGAAACGCCATCTAGTCATTATTTCAGCTTTTAAATACTCTAGAGATAATGATCAACTTGTAACATTCGCGCCAACAACTAAGACGTTTCTAGCTACTACGTCTGCTACATGTATTATTAAAACATGAAAACTGATGTTCTTGAAAACTATCCGGGTTAAATGACTAAACACTTATCATGGCTGATACACTTGGCTTTTATTTATTAAAATGCACAAATTTATGATTAACTTTCATGTTTTTTATGATAGTAACATTCACTCTGGACAAGGAGAATAAATTATTATTATTATTATTGATCTAAGATTGATCTGTTCATTGTGGAAGATAAGTTCTCATCACTATTATCACAGCTACCTTCTTACCTAATGCATGATGCCTCACAAAACTTAACATTTTAAAACAGAATATTTGGTTTCATTTATCTGTATCCGTCGCATAGACTGTTGATTTAGTTAAAATGCTTTAGATTGACAGACCTTTATCCCTGCAAAATAATAAATACGATACATGAATAAGTTAAGTTTACTGTGAAAATTTCAATTACAGTTTGTCATGTAAAAGAAGAAAATTTACAGACTGGACAACAAGCTACTGAAACAAATTTGGATAAAAAATTAACAAACAGGCAGAATATAGGTGATCTTCTGCAATCCCGGTTAAATGAAGCTGAAACTGATGATTTTGAGATTATTGACGATGTCCCCGTCGATTATGCTTATGAAGGACCAGATGAGGAACCGTTAGAAAATGGAGATTTATCTTCTGGTACAAGGTAAGCAAAATATCCTTGTTTACATTAAAATATGTCCCGAATATTTGCAATTATCGACTGATGAATTATTTCTTCTCCATAAAGTTTGAAGTAGAAATGTGGTACCTCCGTATTTGTAGTAACCTGTAGTAACCTGGCAGTGTAATAACTGCCAGCCTTTACTCAAATTCACATTAGAAAAAAACTTAATTCCAAGATACCCTTTTTAGAATGCAGCTGAAAATATAAGACAATAGGTTACTCGAAACGTCTATCCACAGAAAACCCATATGGAATGCACAATCTAAGAATTTTCATAGTTGGGTGTCTTTATGCACCTAGCAAAATGTGATTCTTTCTATGTACCAAAGAATGCACACTATCTGGAGTCCTGATACTTTGAAAGACGAACTTAGTTTGATCAAAAACCTTTTAATCGAAAACCAGTATCATCGCTGAAGCTATGGAATCGAAAGTAAATAATCATTCTACTTCTACAACTTCTAAGAAGCCTCTTTTCACGAGCTCGCAAATAAATAAAGATACATCAGCAAACAAATCGAGAAACCGTTCAGCGAGCGAGAAAGATTTTCTATCCTGCCAAAGCTAATTAACTCCCTCTACTTAACCAAAGCTTTGATTTTGTGTAAGGAATAAGCCAACTTTCTTGGCCACGTTGATTTTTGTTTATCGATTCGCCTGCTGCTATGGAGTAAAGTATATTGGACGTACTCATCATCCGCTTTCCAAATGCATTTCTGAACATATATCAGCTGAGTTCTACAAAGGATAAAGGAGAACATTTCGTAGCTCTATTTTAGGACATTTGATCGATTATGACCACCCGTTAAATGCAGAGAACAACATTGATGTCATTCATAGAGTTCCTCTAGGTCTTTTAAAAGGTTTACGACTAAATTTTTTTCAAAGCTCGGAAGCTATGACAATTTTTATTTTGAAGCCTGGACTCTGCGTTCAAAAGAAATTGGTCCGGTCACTTGAGTTGCAGTGGATGCAACCTATAAGAACTTTTACCTTGAAAAATCTTTTCATTTAGATCTCACACATTACATTCCTCGCCTCCTATAATTCTGACTTCTCTTTACATTCACCAATCGCTTTCACCCTGCTATGTCATTTAACTTGGTAAACAAACATTGGTTTCGTCTTGATAAGTCTTCTTGTTACTATTTCAAACACTGTATAATTCTTTTTCCTATCTTCTGATCTATAATCAAATCTAAACTTCTTTCAAGATATTTCATGAAACGTTCCTTTTACTATGTGAACGGAATATTTGTATGTGATTGTATAGCCTGAGAATGACATCACTGAAAAGATCGGCTCTTCGCTAAACATCATTTGCTTTATGACTTAATGGGGATTTTTAAACCACTGGAAACTCTTTAAGGCAAAATTACCAAGGGACAATTCAAGAAAAATTCTTTTCAGAAGTTATACATTGACATTCATACTTATTACAAGAAAATGTATACATGTCATAAGGGATTACCTTGAAGTCATCAAAAAATTGTTCATAAAATTCCAAGTTGATTATATTTCCATCAGTGGCTAATAAGTTAACAGAAGGTTGTCAAAAATATGTTTCAGAATATAGTAGCAAGTTGTTTGTGTAGTTACAAAGTGATTGCCTAATAATCCAAAACGTAAAACAGAAGGTAAAGAAAGTGGGACAATAATATAAAAATTGAAATCAACATTTACACAGCAACAAAGGAGATTGAGAAACAATACTGCTAAGTCATAATCAAATGGAAGAAGTCATGATGACCAGGGTAAAATGAGATAATAAATCTACTGATTTTTTTTGGTGGTGGCGCCACACTCTCTTCGAAATGTTCGATTTAGCCATATAAATGACCTTAAAGAAAGGCTGTGAAGAACAAGAATTAACTAGATGTTTGGGAATTGAGCCATTAATCTACTTGTACTTGGCCCTAGACAGCCTTGCAGGATGGCTTTCGAAGATGCAATTATGTAATACATGCTTTTTATGTTCTATGTAACCAGCTGCACAGGAGTAGATGAAATTTTAGGCATGTATTAACATAAGTGGAGAAATGTTCACTTTTTGCCAAAACTTGTTTATGCTCATCACAGCTCGGTGGTTCATTTACTGACATTTTACTAAAACTAACAGATGTACGAACTTATGAGTCAGTTGACTCTTCACATTTGTTTTGATTCCCACTAATCTTAAATAAGCTTATTTCAAAGAAAATGTTTGAAATCAATCAGCAAATTAGAATACACCGATGTGGCTATGAAAGATCAGAATAAATACCTTCTGAACAATGAATGGTGACACTTATAGTTATAACTTTAAGAGGTACGAATTAAAACGTCTAGCAAGACATTTATTTACAGAAGTATAAGGAGGCGCTAATCTAGTTACTTTTCTCAGGGTCTAGAGTATCTCTCCAACTTTTTGAATTCAATTTCTCGGAAGTAAATGATTAGTATATTGACCTCTGTAAGGTCTTGAGAAAACTTAAATATATAAAGCAAACATCAAGTCATATGCTTTCAAGCAAAACAGTTTGCATTATCTCTGTAGTATGTTGGCTAAATTGGACCCGTTGAATCATACATATCCTTAATTCCTTCACTCTCGTTTGCACAACTCATACCTCAGGAATGATCAGCTGTAATTCCATACTGGCTTCATCTATTCTGTATAACGCAGTAATATTGTATTGTTTACTAGATGAAGTTTTGAGCAGCATGTATGGCTCATAATCATATCAAATGAATCACTCAACCTTCCGATCTAGTTACATAGTTGCATTACTTTTGACTCTTTACTTAGCAGTAAGACTTTTGTTACATCATGGATCTGTTTTGTATCCTTTCCATTGCACATGTTTAGCGTTTAATGGGTGAGTAAAGGTCCAGTATTCAACCTTGTTCTTACCCCAACCGGATTAGCATTTAAGACTGTGGTTCCGTGCCATCTTACTGTGTGGTTGCTTGAAGTCACATACACACCTATGGTTGAATTCCTCTTTAGATTACTCACCTTAGTAAAATTTATCAGTCTACACTTAGCTAGGCGTCTATGTTCTGCTAATCAAGTCTGTCCACCAAACTTGACCTTACAGTTATTCTAAGGTATTTGGCAAGTTAAAACCAGGAATTCATGAGGTTATTTTAACAAAACTGTGAGCAATTAGTTCTGCTCGAAATGTCACCCAGCAAATAATACTATATCAAGTAGACTAATCTCCAGTACAAAATAATATTCTGCCACAACGCCCAAATTCTGTATGTATCCTAATGATCATCTGTACTAACTGAACTTTATTTTAAAGTATATGTAAAGAGAGCCATTAGACTAAGGAGGACAGATTGTATTTTGGGAGGCGAAAACATGTTCCCTATCATACATAAAATTTAACTCTTTAGGGTATTAAGGTTTCCAGTAAACTAAACTTAATTGAAGAGATATTCGAATAAATATAAAATACCCAGATGTAGCATCCTACTTTCATGTACATCCATACGCGTATAGGCAGAAAAGTGAACTCACACATCTCCTCACCCCTTCCTGATGATCTTAAATTTTGATCAGTTCTTCATACATTCGTATAACTTTACCTTTTGTTTTTGTTATGCTATCGTTGTTTACCCGATTTTACTCTCACACTCCACTATATTTCATTCCCCCTCTACTCATGGTAGACATTACTCACATGAATTTCAATATAGAAGTAAATATTTTATTTTCACCTTCTCTTGTTATAAAAGACGCATAATCAGCTACATAATTAGTTATCATGAACTGAAGTCCAATAACATCCAATCTTGACATAACTTTTTTCTCACTACTTTTATGAAGAGAATTCCAATACTGTCCACTATCATGAGAGAAATGGTACAATAAATTCTTCTGTTGTCAGCGCCAAATTAAACAATATGGACAAATTATTGTAGAGCCTGAGGAATAAGTTATTGAAAAGAATATTCTCCATTCATTCAGATATCGTTCAAATTATAATAAGAATTCTTAAGGAGACTTCCTGAATTGATGCATACCAGTTTGAGAAAATCTAATTCGCTTACATAATCCGAAGCTTCTTGTACTTTTGCCTTCGTATCATATCTGTAAACCATATGCAATAATTTTGTTCTTTGTATTCAGTTATAAAATATTAGTTAGATACAAATGATCTGATATAATAATTAGAGGCTCACAGCAGTCACAACCATTTATTTTTATCTTTGGTCCAAATAAATTCAGTTTTGACGTCAGCTGCAAGTTTTAAATTGTGAAGAAACCCTGGACCTGGGTTTTGTGCTAGTAGGAATGCATCAATAAGCTATTTTGACAATTTTGACGAAACTGATGCTTTCTTGGTGTTTCAGATCAGTACCAATTAGTAATGACTTCAAAAATCAAACTTTTAAGTCTTTTGCGTCAATATCGAGTGGTACATTATCATATCGCCAGGGGAACATGCGTTTGTTAGAGGGTAATCAACTTCATGTAGTCTAGCCTTAGGTGCTGATTGAAGCCTGCCGATCATTTCGAAATACAACCACCAGATTAGGAGATTCACCATTACGATACACTAAGATACATATCATTTGGATGAAGACAATCTGCAGGAAGCCTTGTGCCTAGGTTTCATAACTTTTGGGAGTCGTCTGAATTCAATCAGCACTTCGGACTAGACTACATGAAGTTGGTTACCCTCCTTTAACCAATCAGTACACCTAACTTGGTCCTACAGAAGGTCATCCGCGATCAAAATAGCTTGGTGGTAACCTCATTGACTACAGCACTGAGTGTCACGGGTCGCGATCTCACAGGGGATATCACTCCCCTCGAGATTTCAAATACTCCTTGTGATGAGTGCCTACAAGTACGAAACCTAGGTCAGAGGGTTTTTGACGGCTGATTATTTATATTTGACATCAAAACATAGTGCACCACAGGCTAAAAACACTTAGCTTTTTGTTCATATTGAAAAATTAGTTACCATACTTCAATCAGTGCTGAAAGCTCAAGCTTAGCCAGGCACATTGACTACTATAGCTTGGATGATTTGTGCAACCTCAATTTTCTTTTTTTAGGCATTCGACAGGAAACAGAATATAGAGTCGAACTGAAAACATAGTTTTAACGTCTACTGCTGCGTCTGTCCTTTTCTATTCTTGTGAAACTAATTGCACTTTCAAAGCATATTAGTGAAAGATAAAAGTTATATTAAATCATAAGTGCTAAATGAAATTCATGTGCAATGATTAATGGCAACGAATCCTGACCTATCTAAATTTTCTATTTTCTATTGACTTAACTGACTCTTTCCATAGATTTCCATATAAAAAATTCGACAAATTCATGTGTGACCAGACTGTTCGAAATGTATAGCGCTAACACATCACATGTTTCAGATAATCTTCTCCTTCGCATTCCACTGTTTAAATTAATAATTAGCTATTTAATCCAAATACTTACACGGTATTTCTTACAATATGCCGTGACAAGGTATGAGGATCGAAACCACTGTATATTTAGTCTTAAATTTGAAATGAACTTTGAGAAAGTCAATACTGATTACAACGGTAGTTCCACTGGGATAAGGATACCTAAAAATTGATTGCTTGCTTCAAGTGAGTTTTAAGCAAAACTGTGAGTGAACTTCATATCTTATTCAACTTGATCACTAGTATCTATGGCTGGTTGAAATGAAATCTTTCCACGAGATAGCTATAAGAACTCACTTTCCCGTGCGTTTTGGTGAGTGTAATTCCAAGCCTTAATGATTCAGCTAACTCGATGGTGAAAACAAATCTACTGACCGTTTACATTCTAAGTGTTAACTAGGACAAGCCATATGTATACCTTTTGAGACATATTTTTTTAATAACTGCATATACAGTTCATATCTCTCTAACTAAATTCCCCACACTTTTTCTCATCTAATTACTGTTTATTAAGTTTTCTGAAATTATTCATAGATCATGTGGCGTAAATCAATGTTTGACTCAAGACTAAACTAAACTGAATTGTTTGATTCTGCTACACCAAAAGTATTAAGGTCAAGCAAATTTATTGAATTTATCAATGATTACTTACAATGTAGATAATTCATTCATCTAGGTATTTCCAAAAGATATAAATTTATGAAAGATAAGCCTTCACCTCAGTGAATGGCATGATATATATATATATATATATATATATATATATATATATATATATATATATATAAGCTGAATAGTCGATACAAATAATATGATTGCCAACAAAAACAACTATTTAACCTAGCGAGCAGCACAACAACTGAATGTATATAAGCCTATTTATAAACTTCTAAATACTTTAAATGTAATTGCCAGATAACTCAAAACCTCAACTTCTACCTTCCAAACTTGTCAGCTAGTTATTCCAATTTGATCGAATCTGAATCCAAAGCCTAAAATGCAGCATAGTGTGGCTGCTGCTATTAGAAAGAAAGGTGAGTAAACTCTACATTTTGCAGGTATGTGAGGCTAATTTTCATTTAGTTTCGTGGTACTCTTTCAGTGCAAACACGCTAACCTTAAAACAAAATTTCAAAGTTGACTAAGTGTACATGTCACTTAAAAAGACATCACTCAGCATTGTTTGATGAATTCTCTACAATCACACTCTAAATGTAGCAAGATCTGTTGGAACGTTAAAATTCCGTTGTTTATTTTCAAGAGCTTAACGACTTTATGATATGACTATCTTTAGGCAAAGAGGTTACGATAACAAAGATCCCGTATAATGTGCGCCAGCCTTAGTTTAGTGGATGCAATCATTTAGGAAAGCCCTATTTGTTCCCAATTTTAGACATTAAAGCAATGAGACAAATTAATACCGTTACAGTTGTACCAGTTTGCGCGTCGGTAAGTGATATTGTACATGGATTAGGTTCTAGAACTATGGACTGGTTACTATAATGCCCCGATAATCCTGTGTCTTGAACACACACCGGATAAACAAAATAACAGAACTAATAGTAAGCCATATATATATATAGTAACATTTGATAACCAAGGTTTATAAATGGGTGCCATTGGCTGTAAACCTCTAAATACCTCACCTGTTCCAAATAACCGAATAGCAGAGTAAGATTAGCCTGCTTAAATTTCCGGATACCAAACATTCCTATCGAATAAACTACACCGAAATGCTTCTTTTGGACATTTATTGGTTATGAATATGTTAACAAATTGTGATACTTACTGTCGCGCATTTTTAATATTTATAGTCATTGTATTCCAAAGAAGTGTTTTGGTACAATTTGGAACTCTCAGCATGATATTATATATATATATATATATATATATATATATATATATGTATATACACTCCTTAACAACACCGAATAATGTTTTAATAAGAATTTAAGTAGTGCAAACAGTATTACTGAACTATTGAAAAGAGATTATTTACTGTTACCAAGTTGATAAATGAGCTATTTTGGAATACATTTTTCCTCTCATAATATGAATTCTAGATAAGGCAAAGTTGAACTTTTGCACTTAGTTGTACAAGTGTACAGTCTGTTTTTTTTTGCTTTTAAAATATCTTCAACCTATCATTTCGAAATTTAACAATAAAATTACAAGAAATTATCACGGTAAGTGGTGATCGGCCTCTGAGCACACAGTGGTACATGATATAAATATTACAGCAATAGTTAGGTGGAACTGTAAATTTTAATAGCGGCTGAAAGAACATCCACCATCAGACTTGATTACTTTTCTATTCTCCTTCCGTTCAACCGTGTATTACGTACTGAATAATAAATAACCCAGCAACAAATCATCGTTATATGTTACTGCTTATTATAGTTTTATATTTAATATGATTTACATGATATTATAATTTCATTGATAAATACTGCACAAGGAGTAAATCTGTTAGAATATTGCACATAGAGGATTCCAAACAGTATCAAAAGTATTGTCTGGAATAAAGTTATAACTATTACTATTATTACTACTACTACTACTAGTTAAGTCTCCGTTAGAGCTTGTAAAAATGTCTTATTCTAAAAAAATCAATGTATGCCATGACCTTGATTTTAAGTGAATTGTTTAAATGTGTTTATCATGACGTCAAAAACAAATTTTTGTGTGAATAAAATGATTTTTATTATTAGTAAGAACAACATTGAAATCCATTGTGTTATGTCTACTACCTGCAGTGTAATTATCGCGTTTCAATTTTTTTAAACACATTCATTTGCTCCATAACGTATTGTATAGGGTAAAGTGACTGCGTGTTACCTATCCTTCTGAACTATGATCATTTATTGTAATCAATATCCTTTTGCTTTCAGTTTGCACAGTATATAAAAAGCATTCGTGATCTATTCAGAACAATTTGGGATTCAAAAATCAGGTAACAGCAACTATTTGTAAATGAAGCTGTCAACTGTTTTTAATCCGATGAGCAAAAAAATGATGACTTTTTAATATTTAGATTTGCTGAGATCTTTGATGATTCCCTTTTATTCTGAGTTGGCATTCAGTTTCCATTTGCATATTCTTTATTATTATACTTCGGTAACAAACACTTCCAATTCATGAACGAAAACTCATGAATATATTTTGTCATAATTCTAATTGTTTTACACAAAAATATCTAACTTTGATAACATTTGTATTTGTCAGTTTTTGTACCGCTAAGTGATTTCTGACTTGATCTGTTTGAATAAACACTTATGCTTCATAATTTATTGTTTATTATTGTTATTTTCATTATTTTCCTTTGGGTTCCTAGTGGAATATAGAGCTTCAGTAACACACCTCCATTCCACTCCATCATCTCCAGTCTCTTCTACCTCCCTCCAACACTGCCCACAACCTTTCATCTCCTCCCCACAACATCCCCTCCATGTCACCCTCACCTCGCACGCCCAACTCCTCGTTCACCATCCAGATTCCACTCAACCGTCTGACATGGACTGGACTGGCTTGGCCTGACCTGTCACGTGATATCTCCAATCGGCCTTCTCACTTTATGCCCATCCCAATACACCTCCACATCTCTTCTGCATACTTCGTGGGTGATGGGTTGTTGGTTGGTTCGTTCCCGGACAGCCAGACAGCCAGACAGCCAGTCAGTCACAGTGAGTTCCTTGTTGCTAATTCTTAGTATTCTGGTCATCTGATCTTCAGTGTCAGTATGTAGTGAGCGTAGGTGGCAGCTGTTTATGAATGTCTGTAGTTTGTTGGAAGTGGATTTCGTGGCACTCCAGGTTTCTGAACCATAAAGCAGTACAGACTTGACAATGGTGTTGAAAATCCGGATCTTATTCACCCTTTATGCTGAGTGCAGTGCAGTGCAGTGCAGCAGATATCTACACTGATTTCAGATCAATGAAAGCCTGTCTCACTGTCTTTCCGATCCCCTCTTTGACGTCTTCATCTGTGCTGCCTGTAGTTGAAACGATGCTGCCTTGCCTGTGTAGGTGTGACAGACTACTTCCTTTAGGTTTCTCCCATTATTGGTGATTGGTGCCTGTTGTTGATGCTACATCACCTAAATCTTCTCTACATTCACCTGAAGTCCCCTCTCCCCTCCCCTGACTCATCTCTCCTGTCAACTTGCTAGTTTTCGCCTGTACAACTTCCACTTTGTGCCATAAGACATTAGACAGAAATCATCATCATCATCATCACCGGAAACGGCGGCGACGAAATCCAAATCATCTTCTCAGGTCTTTTCATCGGTCCAGTCAGCGTATGCCCATCTTCTCACTCATCACACTCACAGTTGTCTGCTGCAAGATCCAGTCCACAACAATCAGGAAGATCATCACTGACAGATAGTAGGCAGCCTCGTCTTACCCCCGTCCCCCTCCTTCACTTCAAAGGCATCATCACTGAGCTTTCCATTGTCAATCACCTAACATGTAGCATCATATGGCATATAGTTGCTGTTGAATGAGGTTGATAAAGGTTTGTGGAACTAAAACCACAGTGTTGAGGCAGCTGCTTGCCAAATTACTTCTCGGTCGACACTGTCGACATTGTCGAAAGCCTTCTCAAAATCGATGAAGTTGAGGTGGTGATCCAGTTGACTGTCATTCTATACTCTGTTCTATGATGATGCGTAGTGCAGGGTAGCGTTACAATTCCAACCTCACATGATTTGTTCTTCCTGGAACCAACCAGCCAGCCAGTCAGCCAGCATAGTGTTCTGTTTGTAAATTTGAATCCACCACATTCTTTAGTCTCCTTCCAGGATGATGTGGCTTTACATTTTACTTGTGGTGGACAGGAGTGGAGCATGATTCCTCACCAGTTCCTGCAAACGTTTAGGTTTCCCTTATTTGAGAGTTTGACAAGATAGCTCTTCTTCCAATCCATCGCCAGGTATCTTTCCTTCCTGCCTTCCTTCTTTCCTTCCTTCCTTCCTTCCCCCCTTCTAAACCTTCCGCAATAGTGCTATGAGCATTTCCGCTGTTGCCTACACATCTGTTCCCAGTGATTCTGGTGGAATTCCATCTGGTCCTGTTGCTTTCCTGGATTTCAGTAGCCTTGTGGCGTCCAGGACTTCACTTCTGCTGTTGTCGGATGGCTTGTGTTCACTGGTAATTCAGTGGTTGCTGGTGATATTTCTGGACGAGTTGCAGGTGGTGGTGGTAGTCGACTCAAGAGCTTTTTGAAGGATTTTTTGGTTATCTCTACGTTTTTTGGTATTCTTGTGAAGGGGAATTTAAGTGCCTGTAAGATATATTAGTTGGTCAAAAAATCTTTTTATATAAATCCCATCCTTATTAGACAGATAAGTTCACTTTGCTTGTTCCTCTAGGAAACCTGAATACGGTAAGTAAAACAAACTTTTGAAAATGAAACGAATTTATCTTATTTAGTAGTTATATACTATCCATCTAACCATCCTTCAATCAGTCATTGATAAAACTGATCTTCCAGTTCGACTGATGTTTATTACTCTTCATATCAATCAGTAATTTCTTGTCAGTTCACGATTGCTGTGTACTTATTTTTTTTGATTCATCTTGAGTTTTTCTGAGGTTGTGGGTAGCTACATGGAAACTCTGAAACGAAACAGACTGATTTTCTTAATTTCTCAGAAAAGAACAGTGTTGCAATGACTTCATAATTATATTTATCATACGAATCCAATAGGCCGTGATAACAAACCCACGAATATTCGTGGTCTATCTATTTTCAAAAAACTTATGCAAGCGTTTCTCAAGCTTTAAGATGACAGACTTAATTAAAGGCTGTAATGCGGTTAAATTAATCTTGATTCACAACGTAGAGTACACATATTGATGCATGGAATAACGCTGACGGTGTTTATGAGGTTATTAAGGTATCATTCCACACCGTATATAGCAAAAACGTTCATAGCCTAATCTGTTTTACGAAGCAGATTTGGTCAATTTGTGGGTTCTGGACACTATTCTAAGGGTATCACGTTCAGAGTCATCTAAAAAAGGCGCTAACACAGGATCCAGCTACCAGACTATTTTTTTGTGTAGAAGGTTCACCTAACACGTAATTCTTTTACTTCAGTTAACAGATACAGCGGTTCTGCGGTTCTTAAATTTCACATAAGGAGTAAGACTCTGCGAGAGAAATGTTTGTACAGAGGAAGTGAGACCCACAGAAAGTATACATCTTTCAAAATGTGGAAGTTATCCAACGATTTGATGGCATTATTTTTCTCTTTCAAAAAATGTATATCTTTTTACATATATTCTAACTGCTTTGGGAATATTAATTAATAATTTACCAATTGTAAGAAGTAGAGAACCAGTTTAATCCATCACTAGTCAGAGCGAAATATAAATTTCTATAACTTAGATGAACTATGCGACCTGCTGACAGTTGCTCTACACATTCTGAGCTGTACATGCAAAACTTTAATCATAACTGATTCATCCTTCGTTTTATTTAAAATTTGCAAAGGATTTCCTGTTTCTACAATATTTTATTCTTGCCAGACTTCTGTTGTCAATAATTCATGGATGCGGTCAAGTTAATTGCGGAGCCTTTATTTGAGCCTTTTGTGAAGAATACTGACGAGGCAAAAATGACTCCATTGAGTAATCATATGCTGAAAAAAAGCAATTAAGATTGTATCTCTGAGGCTTTTAAGATCCTTGCTTGGATTCGTTGTCAAATTTAATCTCTGACTAGAAGGATTCTAAAACGGTAACTTTCTTCTAAGATCATTGATGTTTTATGGAGTATTACAAAATCTGAAATTAAGAGTTTGTGTCAGCTGGCCAAAAGTCTAGCAAGTCGAGTCATGGATATGTGTTGTACTTCTGAGACCTACATACGGAATGCGAGTGCAGTTATTCACCCGGTCAACAGACTGAATTCACTAAACGTATCACGAGAGCATGTGGAGATTCAGTGACAAGTCATTGTGTTGATCACAAAGTAATTTTACCACTGGACTAGATCCCAAATGATGGACGCCAGTACGGTATTTGACTGAATAGCACAATGAAAACCAAAAGAGAGATAGTGACACTCACTGTTATCCGTTTGTATTCTCTACTTACGTGCCTGCTGACCATAGTTGGGATGAAGGGAAGTGAGAGTTCTACTGAAAATTGTCTAGCCTGCCACTGAAAGCTAAAAGGTCAGATGCGGTTGCTATAGCATATGATACCCATGCAAAGTGGAAAGCTTGTCAGCAAAAAGGCACATAGGTCACGTTTTCAGAATCCCAGTCAAACGAACACATAATAACCATCACCTACTGCAACTATACTCAGACAACCATCTATTTCTTGTCAGAAATGCTGTTGTGATAGTGACTAAGGAATCAGTCAGAAGAACATGATGTCTAAGATTACCGGTTCCGTTTTCATCAGACGTCTGGGTGGAGTTCGGGAACAGCAAACACGAGAAATTTAGGTGGGCTTCAGACCTGACCGTGGATGTATCGACCACATATTCACACACCATCAGCTTCTGGAACACAGACACATTTACCGACGCCCGACACTGACTGCATTTCACGTTCTGAAGGCGGCATTTGTCTTCACCGATCCAGTGGCCTTATGGTAGTGTTTGTCACTGAAAAGGGTACCGAGTAAGTACATCACTCAGTTGACGGCTCTTTACTCGAACACAGTTGGGCATGTTGGAGCTATGGTGAATTGTCAGGTTGGACATATAAATTGAGTGGTTTCGGTCAAGGTTGCTCATTCTCTGGATTAATAGTCAATTTCTTCATTGTCATCATCATGGAGGTCTCTCTCTAGTCACCCGACGTTACAGGGATTGATCCACCAGAGAAGAATCCTTGGTGGATCTAGAATAGGCAGTTTACATAATCCTGTTGGTTATTTGAAGACACTGACAAGATTTAGAGTCCTCCGGACAGCTTGAGAATGTTTGGCATACCTTTCCCACCACTCAAATAGAAACCGTTACTCATGGATTGGTGTCAAGCCTTGCCCCAGCCTTCAGTAGGGAGTGAAGTGGTTGAGTTTATTGAGTACTTCACCTACCTGGGAAGTCGGACCAACCTTGGTGGGTTATTGGCTGACAAAATCTCTACCTCAATACAAAAAGGTCTCTTGATTTTCGCCAACTTACACCATTCAATGTATAACAGGCACATCTGAGTATCTATCATTATGTGTCAAGTGTGCTGCATTGCAGTTCGCCCTATTCTGCTGTACGGATGTGAACCATGTCCAATAGAGGTGGATGACAAGAGAAGGCTTCAGAT